CCAAAAGCTCCCGACCCTAAATTTTGCAGGTTGGGCCTCTAACGATGGAAAACCACGCTGCCAGAGGCGAAGCGAAGCGAGCGTGCGATGTCGGTCTGGCGGGACTGGCCCTGCGAGGCAGCGCGGGGGTCCAGGGCCCTCAGGAGACGTGTTGTGAGCAAGAGTCGGAGTCTGAATCGTGGGGTTTGAAGTCGGAGACGGAAGGGTGAGCTTGCTTGCCGCCGCCGTCGTCCGTGTGCATGTCGGCCACACATGTTCCAACTTTTTGGCGCCAATGTTGTTAACATCTGCATCCGTGAACCCTGAGATCCGACGTTGCAAACAAATTGCAACATCGGACAAAATCACGCCCAGACCCCGGGACCCTGTCTTTCTGCGCTATTTTTTGAGCCAGATCGAGCCGTGAGGGTCCCGGGGCCCGAAACCGAGCGAAAACGCCCGTTGTGAAAATTGCAACGCCAGGATCTCCGCGAAGGTAGACGGTCGAACCTTCACTTCGGAGATAGTCGATCCACTGGGGGCGGCAAGGTCATCCGAGGGTTGTTCGCCAGCTTCGGCCTCTGGAGAGGCCCATTTCGGGGCCTCGGGGCCTGCAGAAGTCCACGCGGGCTTGAAAGAAGGGCCGAGTTTGAGCGAATGTTGAAGCCCAGTCCCTGACAGCGGGTATGCAAGACTTCTGGGGGCGCCTCGAACCTCTGGCCGCCCAACTCAAATCTTCTGGCAAGACTGCCCCAAGATGGCTCCAGGTGGTATCGGAGACTCCCAGTAATGCCCGCGAGTGGCCAACATCCTTCAAAAGCCGTGTGCTGCTTCAATGCGTTAGGCATTCTCGCCGTTTTGCTTCCTATGGGCTTCTCGAGTCTCAAGACGTTCGAACATCGCCCCAGAGAGCCCCAGACGGGGCCCAGAAAGCTCCAAGACAACCTCAAACGCCCCCAGGAGCACCCCGAGAGGGTCCCAAAAGGGCCCCAAGAGACGATGTTTCAGGCTCGCACGGGGGACCACAACAACATGTGGGCGATTTCGGAAACCCTGATCCCAAACACGTGTTTTCATATATAGGGGACACATATTTTTCTTCCGCCGCCTTCCGCCGCCCTTCCCCTTCGGAGGCGGCTTCGCTTTACTTCCGCCGACCTTCCGCCGCCTTCCGCCGCGGAAGAGATGGCAACTCCCTCGGTCCTCAAATGCAATGCCCTTTTTGGAACACGCCCCATGTGAGTGCCGCAATGTGGCTCGAACATAACAAGTTTCCCGTGAGCGCCTCGGCAGCGTGCGAACACCGCGACGCTCCTGTGCACACCGCAGTGCGATTGCGACGCCGCCCAAGCGGCGAGGGGGGCAAGAACCCCGACAGGACAACAGCGTGTGGGCACCATTGCGCGCCGCACGCGTGAAGAACAGCATGCCGGACCCTGCAAGTGCCACAAGAAGCTGCGAGAGACAACGACGGCGAGGACGCGGAGGTGCTGCAAGCTTTCAGGACGACTGTGCGTGTCCCGATCTTGAGTGCCAGTTCGAGAAGGTACTCCAGATTTCGTAATAAAGGGAGGGGGGTCTCATTTCGGGGGGGGGTCTCTTCCAGGCTATCTTGGAGGGCCTGGGGGGGTCTGGGGACGATGTTTTGGCGGGTTCTCCCACGGGGGGGGTCTGAAATGGCTTGTCTTGGAGGGTCCAGACCCCCTCCCTTTTATTACGAAATCTGGAGTATCGGTCTCCGTCCTTGTAGCTGCTGTAAGCTTTTGAAACGAATGTGCACGCCGCTGGGGCGAGAGCCACCCCCTTCTCTGCACATAAATGTGCCAAGATGTTGCACCGAATGTGCGAGACGCCAAGGCGAGAACCCACTTTTGAACAGGCACCGCTGCTGCGGCGGGAGGCCCGTTTTGAAAAGGCACCACCACCCCTCCATTCCTGTAGCTGGTGGAATCTTCAAGCCTCAGAACCACGCATGGTGAGGAAGTCTCAGGCGAAACGCCTGGGCCGCCTTGCCTACACGCCTCGTGGTACGACAGGGAAGTTGTCTGTATGGAAAAGGCATGTAAGATGATGAGCATTAGAACAGTGGATACCATGACAGCGGACACTCTAACAGTTCCATCGTTGCATTACAATGAGCTCGACATGTTTCAAACATGTTTTGCGTATAATGAAGATGGCCTAATGTTGCTTCAAGCTGTCAAAACATGTTTACGCTGTTAAAACAAGTTTAAGACACAGGACAAGTGTTTGGCCACATGCCTCCTTTCTGTTGATCGTCTTCCACAATATGGGATGTGGGGGCAAACGGGCAGGGGGACGAGGACGAGAAGGAGAAGGAGGAGGACGAGGTGGAGGACGAGGTGGAGGAGGGGTGGGACGACGACGACGACGTCGACGGCGGCGCCATCCTTGGAACTGTCGCACTCCTGGCCCCCCAGATGTGCGGGAGGGGAACCTCTCAGGAGGCCACCGCGCCGAACCCCGCAGACGCCACGGCCGCCCGTGAGCGCCACGGCGCGCAAATGCCGAGGCTGGGCCAACGGCGACGTTGCCCAACGGTGATGCTGCGAACCAGAAAGCGGAGGACGTCAGGAACCACGCCTTCCCACATCTCCCCCCTGCGAGTGGATCGAGCGAACACGATACACAGCGAATCGCAGGCGAGCGCGAGCCACGCGCTCCCACCATGCCGCAGCCTACAGCGCCGTTGCCTGCACCGCCGTGAGCCCGTCTACGGAAACGTACCGGCAATCCGCCGATGAACGCCACGGGCCTGCGGGCACCCCGCGGGAGCTGCGAGCACCCCGCGGGAGCTGCGATCGCACGCCGCTGCGAGGCGCGCTGCGGGGAGGGCAGAGAGCGAAGTGATGGGGGGGAGGGAGGCGGGCACCCTAACGCCCGTCACGGCCAAGGCCCCAACGAAGGCTCCTCCTCCTCCTCCTCCTCCTCCTCCTCCTCCGTATCCCAACAAGCGTTGACAAGACATTGAGTGGGAACGTAGTCCGTCAAATGATTCGTCCTTCTGCTCGCCCTCCTCCTACCCCTGTTCCTCCTCCTCTTACCCCCTTACCTCCTCCTCCTGCTTCGAAAGAACCGCGAGAATAGATTTGATTCAACTCGCCTGGGGATGGGCAGGTGGGAGGCGGGAAGGAAGATGAAGGAAGCGTATACAGATTGAACCTACAGATATTGAACCTCCAGATGCCTCTCTTGCCGTACGACTGGAGCACTGTTTGCGGTACATGATCCAGCCGAGGCCACGACGCATGCCAAAGCTGAGCAACGCACTGTGGCAATTGAAGGAGCAGAGCCTCATTGTCCTCCTCTTCCCCCTGGTCCTTCTCTTGTTCCTCCTGTTCTCATTACCGTAATAGATCGTGATCACCCTTCGTACATTTACCTCTCTACCTCCTCCGTCCTCCTTCTTCTCCCTCCTCCTCCTCCTCCTCCTCCTCCTTGTCCCTCATCATCCTCCTCCTCCTCATCATCCTCCACATCCCTTCTCCTCATTCTTCATCCTCCTCCTCGTGCCTCCCTCCTTCTCCACGTCCTCCTGCTCCTGGTCATGCTCCTCCTCCAATTCCTTCCTCGACGAGGTGAAGGCAAGATTACAACGACGCCGGCGCCGCCGACGACGACGGATGACAAACGACGACGACGACGACCACGACGGCGACGACGACGACGACGACGACAAACGACGACGACGCGGCGGGCCACCCAGATCCGCTGCCGGCGGCAGTCCCAGCTTCGTGTTCCAACACCTGGGCCACCCCGCCGCCACCGCTGTGCGGGGAGCAAGGGGGGGAGCTCGAGGAGGAGGAGGAGGAGGAGGGGGAGGAGGAGGAAGAGGAGGGGGAGGGGAGGGGGGAGGAGGAGGAGGAGGAGGAGGAGGCGTGAGGAGGAGGTAGGAGGAGGAGGAGAACGAGGAGGAGGAGGAGGAGGAGGAGGAGCGAGGAGGAGGAGGAAGAGGAGGAGGAGGAGAAGGAGGAGGAGGAGAAGGGGGGAGGAGGAGGAGGAGGGTGACCCTAACTGCACCCAAGATGCATCAGCAGTGCTGCCGTGCACCCGACCGTGCCAAGCCCCTGTCCGAATCAGTCCACGCCGGCATTCTTTTTCGCCGCGCGACGCGGCCCGGCCCCCCCTTTAAAGACAAACGCCCCACGGGCCCGCAGCTCAGGCGCGAGATCCGTTTTGATAAAGAATCGCCCTCCGCCCTTCGAGGTGCGTATGAGGAATGCGACAAGGTGAGGTCGTCACATTCAAGGAAGTGCCGAACGACAACCGCACTTTGAAATGGAGCCGCCCTCCATCCGAGTAACCCTTGCACAGCGTTATCAACCTCAGGTGGAATCGAACGACTTCTCCAGCGAGAACCTCCCATGCGTGTCCACGCGCGAGCGAAATTATGCGTCCACCGCAAGTCCCAGATGATGCCCCCCAATTTCCGAATCACTCGACGATGGTATCTGAGGTGGTGGGGAGCAGCTAGCAAAATGGAGGTAGGCTTGCTGCCCAAATGCCAACTTATCATAATAAATAGCGACGGCAGGAAGGGGGGGAAGGGGGAGTGGGGGGGGGGCACACCCACCCAGGAGGAGGAGAAGTATGGGGACAAGGCGAAAGGGATGACTTTAAGGAGTGGGGGAGGCAGGAGGATGAAGTCGGAGGAGCAGGGGTGAAGTTGGTCAGGTCGAGCGCGTCAGCGGGCCCTGCACCGACGCACCTTCCCCCCCAGGGGCTGGCGGAGGAGGAGGAGGAGGAGGAGGAGGAGGAGGAGGGGGATGCGGAGGAGGAGGAGGAGGAGGAGGAAGAGGAAGAGGAGGACTTGTGTAAACCCAAGAGGCATCAACTATGTTGGAATAAACCCTCCCTCCAAGCTCCCTCTTCATAGGCCCCTACAACGGTTCATTTCCATTGAGGGAACTGCCTCGTTGGAAGACAACCGTTTGAAGACCCTGCAGCATGCTAAAACATTGTTCTCGGAACTCCAACGCCACGGATCAACCTGACTGTTGCGTGTTGACGATTCAGAATCGCATCAGAACACCATTCCTGCGACTTCAACAGAGCGAAGCAACGTAACTCCTGCACCCGCGTAATCCTGAATCTGTTCAAAACACCATTTCTGGCACGCTGATGATGGGAATCCGTGAAGCTCTTGCACATGTTAAAACGAATGTGCGCCGCGCTAAGGCGAAAGCCACATTGTGAAAACCACCCGCCCTCCATCCGTGAAGCGCTTGCACATGTTAAAACGAAAATGCGCCGCGCAAGGGCGAGAGCCACATTTTGAAAACCACTCCGCCCTCTATCCGTGAAACGCTTGCACATGTTAAAACGAATATGCGCCGCGCTACGGCGAGAGCCACATTTTGAAAACCACCCACCCTCAATATGTGAAGCTCTTGCACATGGTTAAAACGAATGTGCGCCGCGCTCAGGCGAAAGCCACATTTTGAAAACCACCCGCCCTCGATCTGTGAAGCTTTTGCAACATTTGGAAGCGATTGTGCGCCGCGCTAGGGCGAGAGCCGCATTTTGAAAGCCACCCGCCCTCTATCTGTGAAGCTGTTTTTAAGCTTCGGAATCATAATTGGCAATGAAATCTTAGGCGAAACGCCCGGCCCGCTCTAAAAACTGGCCTCGGGGTGCGACAGGGAGAAGCTGCTTATAAAGAGAAGGAATGGAAAAGGAGGAGGAGGAGAAGGAGGAGAAGGAGGAGGAAGAGGAGGCAGAGGAGGAGGAGGAGGAGGAGGAAGAGGAGGAGGAGGAGGAAGGAGGAGGAGGAAAGAGGAGGAGGAGGGGTTGGGGGAGGAGGAGGAGGGGGAGGAGGAGGAGAGGAGGGGAAAGGAGGAGGAGGAGGAGGAGGGAGGAGGAGGAGGAGGAGGAGTGAGGAACGGAGGAGGAAGAGAGGAGGAGGGGGAGGAGGGAGGAGGAGGGGAGGAGAGAGGAAGGAGGGGAGGAAGGCAGCTGAGGAGGAGGAGGAGGAGGAGGAGGAGGAAGAGGAGGAGGAGAAGGAGGAGGAGGAGGAGGAGGACAGGACAGGACAGGACATCCGCAGAAGGGTTCAACGCCGAAACGCCCGCAAAGGAGGTGTGGGGTATGACTTGCAAATTCCCCTGCGATTATAGTATGCCGCACACCCAGATTTCTCACGGGGCTGGCAGGGGGGCATACCCCGAAACTCAAGGAGGCGAGCTCCGAGGTGGCCTCGTAAGAGAGGCTCGCTGATTAAGACGAGTTCCTGCGGGTCAGCGCGAAGGGAACAGCTGCTGGCCTTTTCGCGTGCCCACTCTGGGGGACGCGCTGGCGAACAGGGTTCCCGAGTAGGAGGTTCCCGGAGCCCCTCTTTAATTTGTGAGCCAGCGCTCCTGCACCCCCCCTCCCCCCCTCCCGCCGCCACAAAAGCTCCAGCACTCCGAGATGTCCTCGCTAATGTGCGCCGCGACCGATGCTTCCCGCGCCAAACGCGCTCAGATTTCGGGCTCGGAAGGGCCTGACGGTGCCCCCAGAGGGCCAATCATTGGCCGTGGCATTCGGGGGCGAGAGATTCGCCAGCCGCCTCAAAACTTCCCTCCCGCTGCCGGTGCCCACAAGACTTGGACACTGGCTTGGTAGCTGGTGTAGATTTCCACCTCGCGCACTGGTGAGGCCATCCAGCCGCGCGCACTTCGAGCACCGCAACAGACCATTCATCGCGAGAAGCGCATGAGACGGGTGCACACGCTTACCTCCAACCCTTAAGGAGGGGCACGCAGCTGGCGCAATGCGAAGCTTTTGTTACATTCTGAAACAAACAACCTGCCTCAGCAAAGGTTCTCTCGCAACCAGCTGTCGACTGAGACTCTCGTGGGTCCTAATTTACAGCAGCAACAAAACCAGCGCTTCTTGTCCCTGGGATTCTGCATCATGCAATGGCCCGACTCACGCCCGAGCTTCTTCCGAAGCGTGGTAATCTTCGCGGGCCTACTCCTGGGAACTGAGCGCCAGTGCTTGACCCTTGGCAACGAGTTGACTTCAGTCGCCATGGCTGCTAGTCGCTTATAGGCTTGCTGGAGGAGAGTTTTATAAACTTGAAGCGAAGCTCTAGCTGGATATCATTCAGGGCCTTGGCTGGGCCTCGCCGCGCTAACGCATCGGCTCGCTCGTTCCCTAGGGTGGCGCGCCGGGGCTGCTGGGACTCACGGAGGCTCACTGCATCGAGATGAGAGTTGCATTTCTCGATGGAGACGCGGGCTATCCTATCGGGCTTCTGGAGGATCGCCTGCTTGATGCGCTGCCACATTGCATGTGAGGCCCCCAAGGGTAAAACCAAACCTTGCGCGCCAACCCTTGAACGCGAGCGCGCTATTCGTCCAGATCTCCAAGAGGCCACCCGTGAACAGGAGGCGGTAGAACAAGGCCGCGAGCCCTGAGCACGAGACTGTCTGGGCGCGTCGACTGTTTCGAAGGGGCCTGGGAGGGCGGTTTCGTCTGGGGGATCTCCGACGTCGAGAGCAACTCCCCATCCAGCCAGCGCAATTCTGACACCTGCAGAGTTCGCGGACCCGTCGAGGTAGGCCCTGCCCCCGCGGCCACGACGTGGGAACCCTGGACGGAGGAGAGGGTGGCGATGGTGAGGGCTGGGCCTGGCATGTCTACGCTGAAGACGGTCTGGGGCTCGTTCCAGTCGGGGGCCTGAGGGACCTCGTTGAGCCTTGCGGGGAGTATACCACGACACCAAACATATGCATGTCGGGTTGCTCGGCGATCGATTGTACAGCACGAGATTTGAGGTCATGGGTTCAGCGGATCCAGTCGCGGTCGATGTTATTGTGTTCAGAGCGCTGATAGCAACGAAGCAGGAGGTCTTCTGCCGCCTGCCCGCAGCGCGGGCAGGCAGGGGCACAGTCATAGACAGCTCTCGACGTCCTCAGCGCCGTCCAGCTGCCACCGATGACCACGTTCTCGAGTGCCCCTGCATCCTTGAATAGCTTCTTGCGTCGCATCCAGCGCAGGGTGCGCTGAGCCGCTTGGAGGTGCCCGCCGTCGGAGCAGCCCGCTCCTTCGGGATACTGTCCTGCCTGCTGCCACAGGCCATTCACGATCTGGCGGTGGATCTCGTCGAAGAGGCTCTGAAGGCTGGTCTCCCCGGGCTTGTGGATCCAGATGCCGTCGTTGGGGTCGGTCCATTTGTCTGGTTCGTGCAGCTTCCATCCGAACTCGCCCATCGCCACGATGAGGGCCCCCATGGGGCCCGTTACCGATCGCCCCTTGTACGAGCACGAGCCTTTTCCATCTTGTTGGGAACTGCTGCACGGCCAAGCCGTACTCTTGTATGGTATTGAGGTTGCTGCTCCCAAAAGGTGAACCACCCTTTGATCTTACGCCTGATGTTGAACGAGACGGGGTCTTGCATGTCTTAGATATGTAGCATGATGGTTGTGGTGCAGCGCCCTCCAACTGTGAAGCCCGCCATGGTTGCCGCCGTCGTTCGCTACAGCTGGCACGCATGTTCGGTAAGCCCATGACAGGCGTGTCGTGCATTACTTTGGCCCGTATGCTGGAAGTGTAGAGCCTGGCCGTGACCTTGCGTCCAGCCCCTCGCCGTTGAAAAATGGAGGAGCGCTTGAATAGTATGCCCACGGCCTTGGCTCTCTTGGCGGCTGTGGGTGTGCGTCTGCCTCGTCCTGTAGTAGGAGTCGAAGCCCAGGTCGCGAGCTGTTTTCGCAGACTTGAAAGTGACACCGCGCTGCTCGATGGCGCTGACGACTGCCTTCTGGACTGAGGCGCGGCCCAACATGACCGTCTTTTCCGAGACCTGAAGGCCGAACTGCTGGATACCTTCGACGGGCGTGGCCGAGCCTTTGGCCATCTAGTAACACAGAAGGAATCTGTGGCCTTCAACACGTACTGTGCGGTCGTCCACGAACTCACGTATCATGAGATCTTGGTGGCGGGTGTGCACTGTCTCAAGAAGGTCGTAGAAGTAGGCTCTCCCTATGTTGTTGGCTTCCGTGCATCCTGCCAGTAGCCCGTTGTGGGGAATCAACGCATTCGAGCTGTACACGTCACGTACTCTGATGACACGAGGGCTGAGGTAGAGGAGACACGACATGTAGAGGACCACGGGCGAGTAGTCCAACTGGACTGCTGGCACACTGAGCTTGGTGATGTCGACGTGGTCGCATAACTTCATGATGTCCAGGAAAAGTGGCAACTTCAGTGCCGCCTCGCGCAGCAGAAACTTCATCAAGGACGAGCGTCGTCGAGGCGGTCTGTAGAGATTATGATCATTTGATCGCCTTGTCCCAGAAACCCGCCTTGGCATCGCACCACTCGTCCATTGTGCATACGCCCCCAAACTCTCGTAGGCATAGGCAAGAGAGCTATGGGGCGCTCGTTTCCAGTGGCGATAGCATCTCGTTGGGCCAGTAGACAGATCCAGATGTGCATGAGCTGCTGGGGCCACGTGAGCTTGTTGACGCACATGTTGAGCACGTCCACGAACTCCTGCTTGGCCTGACGGCATGTGGCCTGTAGCGCTGCCCTGGACCATTGGTCGGAAGCTTGAGCGTTGTGTAGCGGAATAGTTCGCAGGGCAACGTCAAGGTCGTCCACAGTGTGGGCCGTCCAGTCCCGACTCCAGCTGCTCCTTTGCGAGGCGCCTTAGCTCGAGCATGCTGTCTTGGAAGACGCTTCTCGAGGTGTGAGTGGTCCATCCGTGGTTAGGAGGACGAGGACGAGGAGGAGGAGGAGGAGGAGGGGGAGGAGGAGGAAAAGGAGGAGGAGGAGGTGGAGGAGAAGGAGAAGGAGGAGGAGGAAGAGGCGAAGGAGAAGGAGGAGAAGGAGAAGTTGGGGGGGAGCAGGGGGATGATCATGATGATGAGGAGGAGGAGGAGGAGGAGGAGGAGGCGGAAGTTAAGATCGACCTCCCCCTCCGACCCTTGCTTTGGATGGACTGCCTGCTGTCTCGCCAAGGCACGGGCGACTCATTTCCCGTGTATGTTTCTTTTTCGTGCGTGCATGTTTCGAAAATTACCCCAACATGTTACTCAATGCTTCCCTCCGAGGAAAGCATGCACACGTCCGAGCGATGCCAAGTCTCTCTCTCTCTCTCTCTCTGGAAACCGACATCTGCATCACGGCGGTGCAGCAGCCGACTACACAGGCTCTGGCTCCTGGCAGCCTGTGATGCCCGGCGAAAAAGCGGGGGGAGGAAAGGAGAAGCAGGCAGACGACGACGAACGCACCGGCGGGAGACCAGGGCCCGCGGGACTGCGGTCGAGAATTCTTGCTTCCCGTGGTGCGGCGGCGGCCCCGGCGGCACGCCGTGCCTCGGAGCGGACAGCGTGTCGCTCCTCCTCCTCCTTCCCGCCTATCCTCCGCCTCCTCCCCTCCTCCTCCTCCTCCTCCGCCTCCGCTCCGATCTCCGCCTCGCCTCTCTCCTTCCTCTCCCTCCTCCTCCGCCTTTCGGGACGGGAGGCAGAGAAAAACTCGGGACGCTGACGCCTGGGAGAGTGCGGAAGTGGAAGCGGACAGCGTGCCGCCCGCTCCAAAGCAAGCGCGCGGTGGGCCAGCACTGGCGGCGTGACACGCTACATGCCGCTATCTCCAGGAGGTCCCTGCCGCAGAGGGGCGGGCGGGCAGACAGGCACGGCCAGAGACAAGAGACAGCAGGCTGCCTGCTCCTCCTCCTCCTCCTCCTCCTCCTCCTCCTCCTCCTCCTCCTCCTCCTCCTCTCCCTGCCTGCTGCAGGCAGGGAGCAAGAGCGGGAAGGGGACCGCAGGCAGGTGGGCGGCCTCTAGCGGGGCCAGATAGAAGGCAGCAGGCAGGGAAGGGGAGAGGGCAAGCCAGACCCCCGACGTCGTGATTTTCTCGCAGCGTCGAGCCCCAGAGGTCCAGACCCCTCCCCGTTCCTTTTGACGGCCCCGAGGCCCGGGAAGGGCCCCCAGAGGCCGAAAAGTTAGCGAGAAGCCTCCCGTCGCGATTTCTTCGCAGCGCGAGGGAGGCCCGGGAAGGAGGGCGGGGGGCAGATGGCGGAGCCATCGCAGGCAGGCCGCGGCCAGCGGGGCCGCGGGGGCCAGGGCGATGGCGGCGACACCACGACCACTCGTTGACGAGGAGGGGGAGGACGGCCACCAGCAGCGCCGCCGGGAGAGAGCTGCAGGGGCCGCCAGGGGAGGGTCGGGGTCGTCGTGCGAGGACCCCAGCGGCCCCCTGGAGGAGGAGGAGGAGGAGAAGGAGGAGGAGGAGGAGGAGGAGGAGGAGGAGGAGGAGGAGGAGGAAGAGGAAGAGGAGGAGGAGGGGGACGCCCCCCGGCAGCGCCAGCGGGAGAGAGCTGCGGGGGCCGCCAGGGGAGCGTCGGGGCCGTCGTGCAGGGCTCGGTGGCAACTCCTGGGGGCCTCCCGTACCAGCTTGTCGGCTCTCGCGAGTCGACGCTCATCGACGCTAGATCGACGCCAATCGACGCTATATCGACGCTAGCCGACGCTAAATCGGCGCTATCATCTCATCGACTCCCATGCGCCAGTCGGCGCCCGTCGACGCCGAAGACGCCAAATTACGAGGGTATACGACGCTCCCACGATGTACTAAATACCGAATGCAGGGGGCCCTCGCAGGGTGGGGGTCGGGGTCGTCGTCTGGAGGGGTCTCTGTCAGCTAGGGTTAGGTCGGGCGTGTCCCCCTACAGGCGGATTTTGAACGAAAAATGAAAAATTGCCCAAAAATACCCCCCAAATTCTCAAAAATAATCAAAAAATCGTTCTTTGACTATTCTTTGACTATTTTTGAATACTCTTCCTGTAGAGGGACAGGCCCGACTTAAAGCTGAGAACGTCGGTGGCGTCGTCGTGCGCGGGTGGGAGGGGCCCCGGGGCGCGTCGGAGCGGGCCGCCGCCGAGCCCCCCCCGGGCCCCATGGCGGAGAGGGGCCAGGCTGCATGCGCTGCGGTGCCTATCTAGTCGGTCGGGGCCGTCCTCCCCCCCGGCGTGGCGCCCGCACCACCGGAGCCCAGCCATCACACCCTCCCGGGCGAGGGCGTGCTCTTGATGGGCCTGTTGTCCACCACCACCACCACCATAAGTTTGTGGGGGGGGGAGGGGGTCCTCCTCCCCCTCTTCTTCTTCTTTTTCTTATTAGTATTCTTCTTATTATTCTTCTTATTACTAATATTATTAGTGGTATTTATTATTATTATTATTATTATTATTATTATTATTATTATTCCTCCTCCTTCTCCTCCACCTCCTTCCCCACTCGAACTTATGGTGGTGGTGGCGGAAAACAAGCCCATCAGGGATGAGGAGGGGAGGGGGACAGGCGGTGGGCGCAGGGCAGCGCCGCTGGCGCCTTGCTCGGCGTCCGCTGTGGGGGCCGCCATGACCAGCCAAGCAGGCCGCGGTCACCCCGCCCCTATCAGGTGCGGTCTCTCTCTCTCTCTCTCTCTCTATCTCTTTCTCTCTCTCTCTCTCGCTCTCTTTTTCTTCTTTTTTATTTTGTTCTCTCTCTCTCTCTCTCTCTCTCCCTCCCTCTCCATACACTGCTGAAGGCGTTCGCGCGTCTCCCATTTTTGCTTCGTCTCTCTCTGTCACGGCACGGGCTCAATATTTCTAGCCCTGCCGAGCGAGTCGGAAGAGCTGCGCCAGCCTTCAACTCTGAAGATGGGCTCCTTTTGAGGACCATCCGCTGGGATTGTAAAGATGCTCCCGGGTCGTGAATGGGGTGCGGCGCCCAGACTCTGGAACCGTGGGCCGCCACACATCTGAGTTGCATAAAGATACAGACGCTGCAACCTCAGTTTGAGGCTTGCAGCCTTCGCTTCGCCGCCCTGTGTGCTGCCGTGCTCTTGCAGCGCGTGGGCGGGTACGCAATGGGTATGCTGCTTGCAGCATGGGGCGCCGCCGTTGCCTCGGCAAGTGCATGCCCGACTCCACGCTGCTCCACGTTCACGGCCTCCGCGGGCACACTCACAGCGCCCTTGGATGCGGACGGCTTTCTGACACCGGCCAGCTCTGGACATGCGTGGCAGGACCTGTCATCGCCGCCGGAGTGAATGGCCATGTAGGTGGTCAGCGCGTCCAGGAAGTCCTGGCACCGGAAAGCAGCTCCTCCTTCGGAGTGGTCCGTGAAGGCCAGGCAGAGCGACTTCAACTCCGCCTCCGTGAAAGAGAAGCCCCGCATGCTGACGAGACGGCCGAACTGATGCGGGGTGATGACGCCGCGGTGGCATGGGTCGAACTGCCTAAATGCGTCTAGGAAGCCGTCCTTCACATCGCACCGCCAGTCGCGGAGCTGCTTGCACATTTTCGCAAAAATCTGAGTGATGCCCTGCTCCTGCATGGCCAGGCCGCTGGACTCGGGTCGGTCGACAGGAATCCCTGACAGTGGGACTGCCAGCGATGCTGTGGCACTGGGCCATGCTAGAAGGAGAAAAAATGGCATCAACATGAACTTTTGGCGCCCCGCGCGGACTTCTTGGATCCGCGCTGGGCCCCCCTCCCTGGCGCGCGGAGCGCGCCAGGGGCGGCGCCGTAGGCGCCGCCGGGGGGGCCCAGCGCGGGTCCGAGAAATCCGCGCGGAGCGCCAGAAGTTTATGTTTATACTATTTGTTCCTCTTCGACATGCTCCTCCCGAGCCCAGGACTGTTGAGTAGGCTTAGGTCGGGCCTGTGCCCCTACAGGGGGATGTTGGACGAAGACTAAAAGAAGACAAACAATACTCCCCAAATGTTCAAACATACAACAACAAAAAAACGTCCCCAGACTATGTTTTGAACATTTTGGAATGTTCCTGCTGTAGGGGGACGTGTCCGACCTAAGAGTGGGCCCCAGCCTGGGTCAGGGGGGCTCCAAACGTCAATCCTGGACCCAGCAAGGGCCTTGCCTTATGTCGGGGGTGTCCTACAGGCGGGTTTTGGACGAAAAATGAAAACTACACAACGAATGCTCAAGAATGCGCAAAAACAGTCAAACAAAAATCGTCCTCATACTATTTTTTGACTATCCTTGAGTATTCCTCCTGTAGAGGGGCAGGCCCGACTTAAGTAAGCCTTGCCAGCATCGGTGCCAGTGCACAGTTCGCAGCCCCCGACCTCGCGGCTGGTCCAGCGGGTCCTCGCTCGGCGCCTCGGCACCGCCGTAGACGCGGGCCCCGTTGACGTCGTTGCAGAACTTCCGGTAGTCGAAGTCGCTCCTGTCCCAGCCGTGCACCCCGTAGAGCCGCAGCAGCGCGTCCTGCTCTGCCGGCTGCAGGGCGATGTTCAGCAGCGTGAGCGCCGTCCGCATGTGCGTGGGCGAGCACACGCCCCGGCGGAGCGGGTCGTAGTCGTGGAAGGCGCCGTGGACTCGCAGCGACCTGCGCTTCACGATGCCGCGGACCTTCTGCACCACCGCGCTGCCGACGTCGCCCGCGTCGCCCACATCGGTGGAGGCCATGGCGCTGCGCGCGGACGGCAGGAGGTCGCCCCCCCCGCGGAGGTCGCGCTCGCACCGGGCACTCACGGGCGCGCCCTGCGTGGCCGGGCGCGCGCCCGCTCGGGCTGGGCCTCCTTCCGCGCGCGCGCCGTGCCCCGTCGTCTTCGGCCTGGGCAGGCTGAAGGCGGGCAGGCCGGACACGCCGTCGACGGCCTGCGAGAACTGCCTGTAGATGATGATGATGATGATGATGATGATGATGATGATGATGATGATGATGATGATGATGATGATGATGATGATGATGATGATGGTGATGGTGATGAAGATGGTGGTGGTGGTGATGATGATGATGATGATGATGATGGCGATGTTGATGACGATGATGGTGATGGTGATGATGATGGTGATGATGATGGTGATGATGATGACGATGATGATGCTGATGATGCTGCTGATGGTGATGAAGATGGTGATGATGATGATGATGATGATGATGACGAAGATGATGCTGATGATGCTGTTGATGATGGTGATGATGATGGATGATGGTGATGATGATGATGACGATGATGCTGCTGATGATAATGATAATGATAATGATAATGATAATGATAATGATAATGATAATGATGATGATGATGATGATGATGATGATGATGATGATGATGATGATGATGATGATGATGATGATGATGATGATGATGATGATGATGATGATGATAATGATAATGATGATGATGAAAACTGCCTGTAGTTGACCGCCTGCGGCCCGGGGCGGTCCTGCTCGGTGAAGTAATCCGCCAGCGTCCTCCCCGCCTCGGGCGAGACCTGCGGGGACAGCCGGTTGATGCCGCGCTGGAACTGGGAGGAGGTGCAGCGTCCGCTGCGAAGAGGGTCGAAGCCCTCGAACAGCTCCCGGACGCGCAGCCGGCGGCGCTGGATCTCGCCCTGCAGCTGGCTGAGCACCTTTCGAGTAGGGAATCCTCCACTGCAGAATTGATCTACCCCAGAATTGATTTTCTCGTCGAAACTACGAAAAAATCGTGGAATGATCTGTGAGCGTTCGATGTAGCTTTCGTAGCTTCGACGAGGAAATAATAAATTCTGGGGTGAACCAATTGTGTAGTCGATCCCCTACTCGAACCTTCTCAGGAGCCACTGCGGCCACCCCTGCGGCCACCGTGGTGGCTGCTGGGGCCTCTGGATGTGAAGACATCTGCGCAGGCCGACCCCCGGACCGCAGAGCGGCGCCTACGTGCGCACTCTTACTGCCCTCTCGCCACGGCAGCTCCGCGGCCTGGCCCGAGCTCCCACTGGCAGCGCCAGCGACAAAGTCCGTCCGTACAACCCTGAGATCTGACGCTGCAGAAAAGTTGCAACATCGCAAAAAAAACATCACGCCCAGACCCCCTGACCCCATCTTCCTGCGTTATTGTTCGAGCTGGATCGATCTGTGAGGGCCCCAGGGCCCGAAATCGAGCGAAAACGCCTGTTGCGAAAAAATTGCAACGCCAGGATCTCAGGGAAGGGGGGGGGGCTGGAGCCACCGGGGTGCCGGCTGGAGCCAAAATGGCTTCCTGGCGACGTCGCGACGTCAGGCCCCCCCCCCCGCAGGTGGCCCAACAGGGGCCACCCTTGGGGCACCCGGGGGGGGGGGGGGGGGCCCTCCCCCACAGTTGATGGCCCCACGAGGCGCCCAGCATGCCTCCTCAAGATGCCCGCGAGGAGGTCCCCACGAGGCCCCCCAGGATGCCCCCGGGGTGCCCCGAAGGTGCCACTTAAGAGACCCCCGAGGAGGCCCTCAGAGGGGCCGCAAAAAGAGCACCCAGCAGGGCCTCGGAAAGAGCACATCCAGAGAGGCCGCCTGTCGGGCCCCCCGAGGGCTCCAAGAGGGCCCCCGAAGAAGCCCCGAGGCCATAGGCGGAGGGAGAGGGGGAGCAGCCAGAGACAGACACGCAGGCCGCGCGCCGGGAAGTAGCGGGTGTAACACTTTCTGCGCAACGCAGCGCGGCAGAGGCAGTCCGCACGCGCGCAGGCGGCCCGGGCAACGAAGACTCGCCAACGAGCCGGCGGCAGGAGGAGGGAAAAAGACGGGCGAAAGCGGCCGCGAGAGAGGAGGGCGGGAGGAGCGGGCACTCACGTGGCGAGGTGCGTCGCAGTGGAGCGGCCAGGGCGCTGGTGCAAACAACGCGTGCGGATCTTGAAGCTGCACATTGTGCTGCACATCTCCTCTTCTGGGAGCTGGCGGCCATGGCGAAAGCCTCTCGCATCCGCCCGCCTGCTGGGCCGAGGGGCGCGTGGGACTCCGCTGCGGGAGCCCCCCCCCCGCGCAGGGCTTTTCGGGGGGCCGCCCCCCCGTTCACCGGGCCCCGGAGGCCCCCGCCATGCCGCCGCCCAGGCTCTGGCGGCGCGCAAAGTGTCGCTGCACCGACTCTGCGGACGTGCTGCAGTGGACTTCTGCATGGGATCTCTCTCAGTGCAAAGCCTCGAAGCGGCGAGCGAAAAACGGCATGAATTTCGCGTGGATTTTTTTCTAGTCTCCATTCCTGGCCAAACAACATCTGTACGAAATTCACTTCGAAATCCGAAACGAAATGCTCCAGGACAGGCCGGGTCCATCCCATCGTTTTCCGAGCGAAATCCGCTCTGCGATGTCGGCGCCCTGGAAAGTGGGGCACGCATGGGGGGGAGAGGAAGGCTTCTTAGAGGGAGGCCGCTCCTGAGAGGGCGCTGGCCTCGCATGAATCATCTGTAGACAGGGCCCGCGCCTTCTAGGAAGCAGGGGTGCTTCTAAGAAGCCTTCTCTCGGCCTCTAAGATCCGCCCCCAGAGGGCCATCGAAAGGACCTTCTGGGGGCCCCGCTTCGCTCACGGACTGGGAACTTCCAGCGCGTTGCCAAAACAATGGGTTGTTCCCGGGGGACGCCTGGACACCTCTCATAGCTGACTTTCAGGTTCGTCTGCAGCATGTTTCAGTATGCACATTTCGACGCCGTTTCGGGGCGCGCTCAGGGATCTATTTTGGACGCTTCTGAAGCCAACCTGAACCTCAGAACGACATCCAAACTGGCCCAGATCACAGCCTGGTTTCAATGCAAATTCGCACGTGGCCTGGGCCGACGCGGGGGTGCTCGGGCTCGGGCTGTTCAGCTGCCCGCCTGGGCCGCCTCGAGCCCATCTTGGCCCCTTTTTGAATCCTTGGCGGAGTCCTTTTCGGGCCTCGTTGGCGTCTTGTGGGCCATCCTCAGGCCGTCTTCTGGGTTAATGTTGGGTGGTGTTCTGGCTATTTCTGGCCGCCTGCTGTGGATAGAGAACAAAGGTCCTAATAGCCGTCCATATCATTGGTCTGTTGGTAACGATGACGGGCATCGATCAGCCACGCCGCATGCCTGAGCCCACTCGGCGATGGGATGGAGAAGAAATTGAACGCAGGACGAAGTACAAAGCACACACCTGCAGGAAGGTCTTCCCCTATTTCTGAACATGTTCATCCTGTCTTGAGGCCGTCTCCGCCTCTTCCAGAGAGAACCGGAATTTGCGGGCGGTGAACGCGAAACGTCTCGAATATGAAAACATAGCATGGCGAGGGACACCGACATGTCTGGGGCGGAAAGGGGGTCATAGTCGAATCCTCACTTTGGAAAAAGAGCTAGCTGTGGGCACCTGGGCGTGACCGCCTCATCATGCTCAAGCAAGCAATTCACCCACACCCACAACTTGGTGGTGAACCTGAACTGGCGTATGACGGGAGGACCCTTCTCATGCAGATGATGATGATGGTGGCGCTGGTGACGAGGGCGACGACAACGACGATAACAACAACCATAACGATGTTAATGAGGACGGTGGGGACGATGACAAAGACGATAGTGATGGAGCTGATGGTGGTGATGGTGACGGTGCTAATGGTGACGCTGGGGATGATGATGACGATGGTGCTGGTGACGATGATGGGCAAGTGCACTCGCAAAAAAATGGCGAGGGAGATGACATCGACGATGACGATGGTGATGGCGATTGTGATACTGACAACCACGATGGCGATAATGACAATGGCGATGGTAATGACAACGCCGGCCCACCCCGCGACCCACCCCGAGTGCTTCAACGAAAGATCGGCGCCTGCGGCGGGCTCGTTGTACAATTTGTAAAAATTAAGCGCCTGCGGCGGGCTTCTTCAGAGCCTCACAGACTGCCGCCGTCCCCGCCGCCCCCCTCACTCTTATTAGCGACTGCGGGGGGCTACGGATTTTTCTGATAGGGACTGTTACAAAACACGCTTCGTATGTCAACGCATGTGCACTGCGGTGTATTCTTTTGCAGGAGGTGACGGGGAATGTCGATACCAGACTGGCCAGCATGGTACCGCTTGATGCTACCATGGCCGATCGTGCATAATAAACAAAAACAAGCAAGAGAGATACTGGCAACTCCAGCCTCGGTGGGATTTTATATTATAATTGATTGGAGGAAGTGGAATGACATGTGGCTACCAACGCGTAACCACATTCCATGCTCGAGGGAACATCGCACACACCCACCCGCAACTTATTCGCAAAACTAATGAGGCCGTGAGTGCACTTACGCATCGGAACTTTAATTGGGGGGATCTTCAACTGGCGCTATGACGCGCGGACCCTGCCCACACAGATCCATGACTCGGGCGGGCGAGGGATGAGAATGACGACGACAATCGGCGACGGCAAAGATGTTACCGATGGTGATGGTGGTTGCGATGATGACGAGGGCGGCAACAACGACGATGACGATGATGACGACGGTGGTGGTGATGATGGCGACGCTGGTGTTGGTGATGAAGGGGATGGTGATAGTGATGACGATTGCACAGGATGACACTGGCGATGATGATTACGATGAGGCTGATGAAGATGCAGAGGAAGTGCTCGGGCGTAGAAACGGAAACCTTTTTCCATTGAAGAAGCACTGTAGTCTTGTTGTGCTGCTGAGCACATCTATCTCGAGGCTATTGGAATGCCAATTGTTTGGTAATGATTTCGACATGCACGCGCTGGGACGCGCGCGTTTGGCCCGTATGGTGGCATTTGACAGAGCTGGCCGGTGCGCGACGATGCTTGTTGAATGATTTCGACCCCTGCGCGCGCGTGTGGCCCGCCTGCTTCAGCAAAAGGCTGTGGCACCAAACGTTGGATTTCTCATGATTGCAGCGGGTGCGCGTGCACATGAGTTCGAGCACTACTGTTGCTGAAGAGCTACGTCTTAAAAGTGTGACCGGACCAATGGCTTAACATATGTTTGGCATGCGCGCACTGGGGTTTGCGAGTGGCACGCGCTGTGCTAGCTACTAAGATCGGGGATTCGTGCAAAACTCCCTTCTAAGATCAACGCCAGGGCCTGCGCACAGCATTATTACTTGACAGGGTGAACAGGGGGGGGGGGGGGCGATACGTATCTGGCCAGGTATGAACTCAAGTGTAAGACAAGTGATCACGCAGAAGAGCTATGGAAGAGAAGCGAGAAAACGTGCGGACGGTGGCGGACAAGCCAGGCCTCGGCATGGGCGCATAGTCCCATCCCTTCTCAAAAGAAGAAGAAGAAGAAACCTGCGTGGTGAAATATACGCGTGCACCAGGAAACGCCAACCAACGCACGGTGCGGCCACCAGGCGGTTACGGGCAGCCTCCAGTGGAAAAGCTGGAAATGCTATCTAACGCGCGGGGCGGCCACGAAGCCGACACGGGCCCCTCCAGGCGAAAACCCAGAAATGCCAACAAATCCATGGGTACCCACCAGGGACCCCTAGCACAAGCGCTGCTTGGGGATTCGGTTCGAAGAACTCAGCCAAGGTGCGTTCACTTGTCGGCGGGCCGAATCCCACAGGTTGCACGCCCAACGCCACCGACAGGAGGGCAGGAGGGAATCGCCCGCTCGCCTGCAGGGTGCTGGCGCCAAGTTAGACCGACTGGGCTGCAAACGTGCGTTATGCCTTTCGTGAGCACCTTGCCTTGGCGTCGTGGTGAAATCTGAGCTCTTTTTCGTCAGGCTTACGTATCCGCCTCCGTATCAGAGGAGCCAGTGGAGTAGGCACGGGCACGCTGAAGTGAACACATCACATGACAAGCCATTGAGGCCCACACCACGGCCTCCTCCTCCTCCTCCTCCTCCTCCTCCTCCTCCTCCTCCTCCCAATCACTACTCCCTCGATCCTCACGACGCCAAAAATTGACGACGACAGACGCCGAGGCCGACGACGATGACGACAATGACAACGACGGCGCCGAACACGACGACGACGACAGCGGCGGCGGCGGCAGCGACGACGACGACGACGACGGCGGGCGGCCGATGCCGCCGATGATAACGACGACGATAACTACCGCCACCAGCACCACCGCCACGACGACGACCAAGTTGACGACGACGGCGGCGGCAACGACGACGACGACGACGACGACGACGGGCAGCCGATGCCGCCGCCACCGACGCCGACGCAGACCCCGACGCCGACACAGACGCCAATACCGCGCCGACGCCGCCGCCGACGACGACGACCACGACGACGACCAAGTTGACGAAGACGACGACGACGACGACGACGACCATGACCACGACCAAGACGACGGCCAAGTTGACGACGACGGCGACGACGACGACGACGCGACGACGACGACGACGACGACGACGACGACGACGACGACGACGACGACGACGACGACGGCGGCTGCGGCGACGACGACGACGACGACAATGGGCAGCCGAGGCCCGGCACCACGAGGCCCGACCACCAGCCAGACGCGGCGCCCCCCGTGAGGACCTCCACGGCCTCCCCGACGAGGAGCTGATCGGGCGCCCCTGCAGCGGCGCACGCGGCGGCGCCGGCGTCGGCACCGGCGGCGTCGGCGCCGCCGCCGCGGAGGCGGCCGCCCCTCCCGCCGAAGGCCCCTCTGTCCCTGCTGCGCGGCTGCTGCTGGCCCTCGTCCTCCTCGCCTCCCTGCTGGTCCTGGTGGGCACCCGCGGGCCCACTGGCCTCGGGAGGATCGAAGGAGGAGGAGGAGGGAGGAGGAACAGGAGGAGGATGAGGAACAAAAAGAGGAGGAGGAGGAGGAGAAGGAGGAGGAGGAGGAGGAGGGGGCGCACGACGGATGAGGCAGGAGGTAGGGGTGGAGAGGAGGAGGTAACGGGGAAGGCGAAAATGGAGGGAATGGGAGGAGACGGGAGTATGGCGTATTAGGCGGAGGAATAAGATGAGGAGTAGAAGCAAAAGGAGGATGGAGGAGGAGGAGGGGGGGTGAGGGGGACTGAGGCTAGTATGCCTGCTTCGGTCAGTGTTAGTGGGAGGGGGAGGCGGGGTGGAGCGGGAGATTAGGCGGCGGAGGGGCAGGGTGAGGGGGACGGGGGAGGCGAGGACAGGAGGGGGAGGAGGGAGAGGATGATGAGGGTACGGAGGCTGAGAGATTAGAACAGTACGTGATGAACAAACGGCTTAGTAGGCGGCGTGTGGTGAGCGGTCGCGGCTTCGACGTGTCAAGCCGGGAGGAGAAGCTGGGTCGGAGGCTAGTATAGTGAGGTCGGCGGAGTCGAGGACGGCCCATTAGGACCTCACTCAAGACCCTCCTGAGGCAAACATGAGCCAAAGCGCAAACGCCATCGCTGTTCGGCATGCAGCCACGCCAGGGGTCGCAGAGGCCTTCGCCCACTGGAGGGCCTTTCTCTTTGCGTTTTCGTTACAGACATCCTAGTTCGATCACCCCCCCAGCGGCGACCGCCGCTGGGGAGGGATGGCTGCGCCGCGTGACTGTCCCAAAGCCAACAGCGATATGAGGAGCAGCAGCAGCAGAAACGACAGCACGAGGACCAGGATCGGGTACCGGATTTTTGCGGCCCTTGTTGGCCCTCCTTTGGCGTGCGGAGGTTCCCGGAGGTCTCTGGAGGTGAGGAATCGAGCCGTAGGAGACCTCTGGAGGCTGGTCGGCCCCTGCTGCTGCCCTCCTCCTTCTCCTGCGCCCCCTCCTCCTCCTATCCTCCTCCGCCCTGCCCTTCTCCTCCTCTGTGTCCTCCTCCCGTATCCCCCTTGCACTTCTCATCCTGCTCTTCCTCCTCGCCCCCTATCCTCCCACCGCTTCCACTCCCACGACGGCTCTATCTGAAGGAACGCTGGAGCACGCGGAGCAGCCAGCTCCTACTACCTACTAACCATCCAGATTATTCACGATACTACTCAACCCTATCATGTCCTATCCGATGGCCTTATTCTGTCTTCTCCTTCAACTCACCATCACTGGCTCCTCCCTCATCCCCCTCTGCATCCCCATTGCTTATTTTTCCAGTGTGGCGCAAGAATACTTGGAACATTTCTCTGCGTAGATTTATCACCGGTCTCATCCTCCTACTGCTGGTCCGTTTCGTCCTGCTCCTCCTCCTCCTCCTCCTCCTCCTCGTTGTCCTCGTCCTCGCCATCAACACCATCATCCACATGCTCTTCCTCCTCCTCATCATTATCATCATCACCACCATCCACCACAACCATAACCATCACCATCACCATCGTTATCATCATCATCATCATCATCAGCAGCAGCAGCAGCAGCATCATCATCATCACCACCATCATCAACAGCAGCATCATCATCATCAGCAGCATCAACACCATCATCAGCATAACAATCATCACCACCATCACCATCACCACCACCATCATCACCACCACTTTCATAACCCGCATCACCACCACAATCACCAGCATCATCATCACAAACACGTTCACCATCACCATTATCACCACCACCTTAGCTCAAACGACAGCGCGGCTTCGCTCGCGCGCGCGGTGAGGCGCAACTGCGGGATGTCGGATGATGTCGGGGCCAGACGGCCCCCCTCAGCCGTCGGCGCTTCCCGCTGCGCGGGGTCCGCGGTATTTTGGGCCAGGGCGACGCGGGCGCGGGGCGTTGCGCGCTCGGCCATCTCAGCCACGCCGTTCGCATGTTGGCGGCGCGCACAGGGGGGGGGAAGGCGAGCGGGGCGGCCTTCTAAGAAGGCGGGGGAGCTTCTAAGCAGGCCGGGGCCGTCTCGGAAGCCCTTCCGGCGTCCAGGAAGGCTCCTTGGAAGCCTCCAGGCCTTTCCAAGAGAGCCCCTGCCTTTTACGACGCGCGCCGCCTTCTCAGAAGGCCGCCCCCCTCGCGCCACCCTCCCGTGCGCGCCGCCAAGCGTCGCGGGGATGAGCTGTCTTCCCGTCCCGAGACCGGGATCCTCAGCCCGAAGTCGGCGACACCTCGCGGATGGATCGGCGACAGGCCCCCCGGTGGCGAAACCGCGCGTTCCTGGGCGGGGTGGGCACTCGGGCCCCTGATCGGCGATCGGTGGGCGATGGGGGGCCGATGCGACCCCCCTATGCCCCTCCCTGAGCCTACCCACCCGAGCGACACTCCTTCGGTCCGCGGGCGCCAAGTGGCCCCAGACAGTCAGGCGCGGATCGGCAAGCGGTGGGGTCCTCTGAGCGCCACAAGCATAGCACACACACACACACAGGCGCGAGGGCTGCGGCACCCGCACCCGCTGCTGGCTCCCGCGGCGCGCCGCCGCTCCGCCGCTCCGCCCGCCGCGGCGAGGCGGGAGCGGCGGCGGCGGCGACGACGCCGCCGCGTCGCGGCGAGAGCGGCGAGTGCGGCGGCGGCTGGTGCGACGAAGGTGGCGTCATGCTGCGGTTGGCCACGACGCGCTCCAGGAGCTCCGGGGCATCCAGCGGCCCCCGTCTCCCGAGTCCCGTGCGAGGCATGATGGGGACCCCTCGGAATCTGGGAAATCTCGGACACGCTGGGACGCATCAGACTATCATGATCCTGACCTCTTGCTCCGGGGCCCTGCGCGGCGACAACAAAACCGAACACCGACCGAACCGACAGCGGAACCGCAACCGACCGAGATCGACAGGCCGAAGGCAACCTAGAAAGGCGCATCGACGCGGCAACGACACGAACACTGACCGAACCGAACCGACCGAACGCAACCGACTGCGACGTAACCAAACCGACCGAACTGTGAACACCCGTGTGCTCCTCTGCAGCGCCGATCCAAGAAGTCCGCGCGAGGCGCCAAAAGTTTCTGCTTCTGCAGTTCTCCTTCTGCTTCGAAAGGGGACCGCCCTCCTTGGTCCCGGCCCCCGCGGCCGCCGCCCGCCCCGGCCCGCTGCTCCAGGTCCAGCCCCCGCCGGTAGGACCTCGGGAGCACGGCTGCGGCGCGCGTCTTCGCCCAGCCCCTTCCTCTGCTGCGCCCCTGCCCCGCCCCTGCCTCCGCCCTTGGATCCCCACGCCGCGCCGCCCGCCCCCGCCTCCTGCTGCTGATGCTGTTCCTCCTCCTTCGCCTCCTCCTCCGCCTCCTCCGCCTCCTCCGCCGCCGCCGCCTCCTCCTCCTCCTCCTCCTCCTCCCTGTCCTCCTCCCTGTCCTCCTCCCTCCCTCCCCTCCCTCTCTCCCCCCTCCTTTCCCTCCCTCCCTCCCTCCTGGTGCTGCTGAAGGAAGCAACGCCCCGCGCCCCTCCCAGTTTGGGGCTCTCGCGCGTGCACTTGCTCGAGGGCCAGAGCCACGAGAGCAGACCTGTGCAGTCCCTGCACGCATGGGGGAGGGCGGTCCAGTGACGAACCGGGGATCTCGCTGGACACCTCTTTGCATTGCACGATCATCGTTGTCAGCATTTCCGCTTACACGCCCAAGGATCCAGAGGGATGTAAGGCAGTTCTTTTCCAGAACGGAGCCCTGCCATAAGATGGCAGGTCCAAAGGGAGCTGTGATTTCCAGGGGGGCGCCCCTTGCAGTGAAGAGGAAAGGTTGCAGGGACGTGTGGGAAGAAAGTTGAGATGGGAAAGTGTGCTGCAGCATCGCTGATGCATCTTGAGCTTACCCTGGTGCTCCTCTTCCTCCACCTGCGGCTGGCAGGTTACGAGTCCCGACCCGTAGCCGCTGTGGCTCAGGTTGGAAGCGCGTGCCCTGGCGCTTTCAACGTGGACGCAGCCGATGGGGCTGGCTCGTGACTTCGCCTGGGTAGACAAGCGGCCATTTTAGCCATCCTCCCACGCGCCATTTCCGAGTTCACGGCGCTCGCCTTGTCGCATCAGTTTAACGCGTCGGCATCAACCATGTGCACACCAGGGCAGCAGCGCGGGTCCATCACCTGCGAAGTCTGCGGCAACGGCAAGGTCTACGGTCCAGCACCCCAATCACAAGGATATGCTCTATCTCGCGTGCGCTGTATGCAGTAAGTTGATCTGGGCAGCAAAGCTCCTGGAATTTCGGGGACAATTCGGACCAGTCAGGCGGTCCATCTCCGGCTCCACCACCGCCCCCGCCTCCAGCACCACTAAAGTAGCCCAAGGCACAGCTCAAGAGGCGAGAACCTCCGGAACCGAAGGAAAACGTTCCCCAATTTGCCATCCCGAGCATCGAGCATCCTGGTCAGTCTAAAGGTGAAACTCCACCGTCTGCAGAAGAGCCTCTTGAAGTAACGCGTCAAGACGCTAAGGCAGCAGCTGCACAAAACTAACGACCAGCTCAGGAAGTAAAAAAAAATCCAGAATAAGACTTCCGAAGCGAGCAAAGACCCAAACATCAACAACAAACGTGGGAAGAGCGCGCGAAGTTAATCGGAGTCTAGTGCTTCCTCTTCCACCACTGGTTTGATACAAGTTTTCCCAGCGAAGAGACGCACTCTTGAAATTGTAGATGTTGTTTCCTCATTCTTCATTATCAGTAATAGGCAAGTAAGCGGTAGGACTGAGTAGTCACCTGCATAGCGGACCCTGGGGAAAATCACTTCATACATCTCGCTCTGCATCCTCAGTCGTTGATTCTGGCAAGCACCCATAGGACTGGGCAATCGCCTGCAAATGCAATTTGGAAAGAATCCCACAGTTTCCGTGTTGCTAGCAGTATGTAATAATTCAACATATGATTCTGCATGAAGGCCAGAGACGTATCTAACGAAGTTGTTGATACATACGTTGCCAATGGTTAGATCACCACATCGGGCGGTATCACCCGCAAGACATCAAGGGAAGTATAACTTCCTTGGGAAACACACATCGGCCGGGAGTTGATCAACCGCGGGGCGGGACAAGACGGGGTGGGTGGGACATGATCCCATAATATTTACCTAACAGCGAAGACTGATAGGTTTCTAGTGGTGTCAAAAGAGAGCATCATGACTCCTCAGGGGGGTCGGGGCGGGACCCGGGGCGGCTGCCGCCGAAGCCCAAATCGCCTGGGACATCCTCGCAAAATCGCTCTTGGCGCTCCCAGAACGCCATTCCCGGGCCACATTTTGGATGCCCGGAGCCAACTGTAGGCCACTTCGTGCTCTTCGACTTCCCAGAACTCCATTCTCGGGCCACATTTTGGATGCCCGGAGCCAACTGTAGGCCACTTCGTGCTCTTCGAGTTCCCAGAACTCCATTCCCGGGCCACATTTTGAATGCCCGGAGCCAACTGTAGGCCACTTCGTGCTCTTCGACTTCCCAGAACTCCCACTCCTCCATTCCCGGGCCACATTCTGAATGCCCGGAGCCAACTGTAGGCCACTTCGTGTTCTTCGTGCTCCCAGAACTCCACTCCCGGGCCACATTTTGAATGCCCGGAGCCAACTGTAGGCCACTTCGTGTTCTTCGTGCTCCCAGAACTCCATTCCCGGGCAACATTTTGAATGCTGAGGCAGGCTGATGCTGAGGCTGAGGCAAGCTGAGGCTGAGGCAGGCTGAGGCTGAGGCCGAGGCTGAAGGCAGACTGAGGCTGAGGCTGAAGCAGGCTGAGGCTGAGGCTGAGGCAGGCTGAGGCTGAGGCTGAGGCAGGCTGATGCTGATGCAGGCTGAGGCTGAGGCTGAGGCTGAGGCTGAGGCTGATGCAGGCTGAGGCTGAGGCAGGCTGAGGCTGAGGCCGAGGCCGACGGCAGACTGAGGCTGAGGCTGAAGCAGGCTGAGGCAGAGGCAGAGGCAGGCTGAGGCTGAGGCTGAGGCAGGCTGATGCTGAGGCAGGCTGAGGCTGAGGCTGAGGCTGATGCAGGCTGAGGCTGGGGCAGGCTGAGGCTGAGGCCGAGGC